TTGCAACTGAGAGGCCGGCAAGTGAGGCGGTGAACGTTGGAGTCTGCAGCAAGCAAGCCTCCCTGCTCGCTTCAGTGCCTGGCTGCCGGCTGCCATCTTGGCTGACAGTTAATTTGCATATACTCACTGATTAGCCAATGAAAAGGGTAGCGGTCGTACGCTAATTACCATGTTTCTCTTTTATTAGTGTAGATATATGAGATGAGATAGCAGGCAATATTCTCTCAGCAATGTAAAGCTTTATTCTACTTGAATTTCAAAGCTCCCCATTATAATAATCTGAATCTTCAAAAATTGAATATTATAATGCTTACTAGAGGCCTAGTGCATGAATTCGTGCAAGGGTGGGGTCCAGCTGGCCTGCCACGATTGGGGCCGATTGGGCTGGGCTGGCCTGGGGGAGACCTCGGGCGGTTGGCCGGCTGGCCTGCCCCCTGATTGATCTCCTGGTCGAGGGGACAATGTGCATATTAGCCTTCTATTATATAGGACTAGAGGCCCGGTGCACAAAAATTTGTGCACTCAGGGGGGTCCCTCAGCCTGGCCTGTGCCCTCTCGCAGTCTGGGACCCCTCGGGGGATGACCACCTGCTGGTTTAGGCCCGCTCCCTGGGGAATTGGGCCTAAGCTGGCAGTCAGACATCACTCCAGCAGCCTGGGAGCCCTTGGAGGATGTCCACTTGCCAGCGGGGAGCAGGCCTAAGCTGCAGTTGGACATCTTTAGCGCTGCTGAGGAGGCGGGAGAGGCTCCTACCACCACCGCTGTACTGACAGCCGTCAGCCTGGCTTGTGGCTGAGCAGAGCTCCCCCTGTGGGAGCGCACTGACCACCAGGGGGAAGCTCCTGCATTGAGCGTCTGCCCCCTGGTGGTCAGTGTGTGTCATAGTAACCAGTCATTCCCAGTCTTTCTGCTGTTAGGGTCAGTTTGCATATTACCCTTTTATTATATAGGATATGTAAGCCAAGATGGTGAACATGAACTTATACTGGACACAATACAGGGTGGGGCAAAAGTAGGTTTACAGTTGTGAGTATGCAAAACAGAGTTTATTCTTGTATTATTATGTATTAATTATTGTATTATTTTTCCATATGAACAACTGTAAAACTACTTTTGCCCCACCCTTTATATCTGGTTAAGAAATTTTTCTCTAACAAGTATCTTGAACCCAAACCTGATATAGGTGGATGGTTGAATTTATTTAGAATTGAGGTTGTTTCCAGTGGTGTGACAAATTCAAAGGACAACAGCGTTTAGTACCCTGTAAGAGTGACATGGTGTCCTTTGGATTCTAAGCTTTATCTGTGTCATGGACCAGGGATCTCAATCAATGGCATGGAGGTTGAAGAGCCAGAAGTGAGCCAGAAGGATTGAAGAACATACCTGATCATGGGGAATCTCTAAATTTATATTTTAGAAGTGGCACATTTTTAGTGATGTACCTGAGGCAGGGAATGTTCTAGCTAAAGTTTGTTGAATAAACGACTGTCAGGTCCAGGGAATGACTAAGAGAATGTATTTGGGGAGATTGTCACTTATGATGAAGTGGCAAGAAAATGACAGTTAAATATGAATTAAATCTGGATGATATGGAAATGATTGTGCCAAATTAAATTAACTTTGTAATGTGATGTATTAGTTGATTTGCCTGAATGATATTAACATTAAATTATGAAGACACATCAGAGGGATAGGAGTACAGTGATTTGAGAAGCAGATTACACTGCTCTTTTACTTAATAACTTAAAATTGATTTGTGGGGCCAACTTATTCAGAATATATACTAATAGACTAGTTTAATTGTCTTTCTTCTTTCTTTAAGAAAGTCTTACCTGTCCAAAAGGCAGCTTCACGAACTTTATGCATTTTTCTACGTTATAATCGTAAACAAGAACAGAGACTTGAGGTCATTCAAAAATTAATTGAACGTGAGTAATCATTGTCTATTATTTTGAAAAAAGGTAAACAAAGTAATTGGTCTTAATTATCTCTGACTTATGTATCATTTTGGCATGAGTAGTTAGGCTGATGTTGGTAATACCTAGAGTGTTTGTGTTTGAGTCTTACAAGTAAGTTTTAGTTTGTTTTAGAAATTTATATGACAGGATCAGAGCTGTGATGAATGAAAGTAATAATTATTCTGGGCCTTTTTTTGTGTGTGAATTTCTGCAGTCAAGAACTTAAAATATGTATACTTTTGTTGAAAGCCTAGTTTCTCCCCTAATGAAAAATAATTTGAAACTAAAATATAAAAAGAATATCCATGAATCTAAGCATTTATCTTTCTATTTTCAATATTAACAGTGAGGTGTTTTTTTTTAAGAGTTGAATAAATGTGAATCTGTGAGTCTAGGTGGCTTATAATGTGTTAAAAATTAAGTCAATTAACAAATGTAAATTTATTTTAATTTGCTAAGGGCCAAAATCAAGACAAAAACCTTTAGTGCAGCAGTTCTCAGCCTGTGGGTCGCGACCCCTTTGGGGGTTGAACGACCCTTTCACAGGGGTCGCCTAAGACCATTGGAAAACACATATATAATTACATATTGTTTTTGTGATTAATCACTATGCTTCAATTATATTCAATTTGTAACAATGAAATTGGGGGTCACCACAACATGAGGAACTGTATTAAAGGGTCGCGGCATTAGGAAGGTTGAGAACCACTGCTTTAGTGGAAGTGTTAATTCTAAAAATAGCGGCCTACATCTGTATCTACTTAGCAAATTTGTTAATTATTGTATACTTGCTTTGATAATCATGTTTTTAAGCTTTTATTAAACTGTTGTCCAGTATAGGCAGGCAAAGAGATTTTCTGGTTATTGGAGTTTATCATTTTAAGTATAGATTGCCTCTTTTCAAAACGTTAGAGTACATAAAATTTCATTTACGAAAAGTTACGCTTAGTATACTTTAATGTTTCATTTTTTAGTCTCTTTTAATTACATTTTTACTTTTCATTGGGTAGGACCTTACATTTAAAATGTTTTATTGATTTATTTTTATTGATTGACTTTAGAGGGAGAGAGAAGAAAAGAGAAACATAAATTTGTTATCCCACTTATTTACATATTCATTGGTTGATTCTTATATGTGCCCTGACTGGGGATCAAACCCAAAGCCTTGGTGTATGGGCACCATGCTCTCACCCATGAGCTACCTGGCCAGGGCTAAAATTTTTTATTTTAAAAGAAGATTCTGTTTTGGTTTTAAATATTAAAAATGTTGCCTTTGAACATTTATATAATAAGGGAGAAAATTATTCTTTTAATTTGATCCGAATTATTTTAATTCTGTAATTTAATAATATTGTATTTACATATGACTGTTCACTTCAAAGCATTTTTAAGGAAACAAGGAAGAAAACAGTTAATTTGGTTGCTGAAAGGTTTTGAAGTTATACGTATCTGCGTTTGAATTCCAGCTCTGCCCTTAACCTGCTCTGTGACTGTAATGTCTTTGAACCTCAGTATCTTTATCTTTTAGGAGGGATAATTATGTGCTTATCCCATTGGATTGTTTTCCAGGATTGAAGGAGATAATATGTTTAAAGCACTTAGCACATAGTGGGTGATCAAAATAGCAGATGTAGTCATTCAATATTTACTAAATGCTCATGGGATCGAATGCAATGTTTAATAGATATTTTTCTGTTTTTTGAGGTATTATTAACTTGGGGGGTCTACAAACCTGGGGTATATAATATGATTTTTTTTCTCTTATCTCTTGCATTTGCTAAATAAATTGTGGGTTTAAAGAAACGTGCCATGGATTTTGTGTCTGATTCTGTCATGTATTTTCATGTAGGAAAAATTAAACTTATGTTAATTTTTTGGTTTTGTTTTTAGAACTGGGCCAAGGAAAAAGTTATTGGAATAGACTTCGATTTTTGGATACCTGTGAATTTATTATAGAGCTCTTTTCCAAATCATTTTTCTGTAAATATTTCTTTCTACCTGCTATTGAACTGACACATGATCCAGTAGCAAATGTGAGGTATGGTTATCAATCCAAGAAAATATTTGAAAAATGTATTTTAATGTATCTACTATAATGAATATATGCAAAATGTTGTTTTAGTCAATTAAAAATTCAAGTAGAGAATTTGTATTAGCTTTGGAATTCTTAGTGAACAGGGGTAGGGCTGCTGTGAAGTCTTTTTCTTGCCTTTCCAATGTTCAGCTGTCTTGCATTTTTGAAACCCAATAGATGTTATTTGCAGTTGGTTAACTGTTTGATTAGAGGGAACAGGACTGGAAATGGCTTGCTTGGAAATTGAAAAAAGTAATAGATATATTTTGCCTTTTTTCCCCTCCCAAAATAAGCATATTATTTCTTTCTTTTAATTGTGGTAAAATACGTAACATAAAATTTACCATTTTTACCATTTTTAAGTGAATAGTCCAGTGGCATTTCATACACGCATACTCTTCCAGTTATTTGTACAGTGCATAATGAGTTGAAGAGAACTGTAGCCCGTCAGCCATTAGATATCTGTGTTTTATGCGCCATGTCTCTGTTCTGAACTTGAGGACCTCAGGTCTGTAGGGGAGAGACACAAAGTCAGGTGGCCAAGACTTCCCTGAACAGAAGGACTCCTGAACTCCCTGCTGGGTTTTCACATGCTACCCACTTAGTCTATGCTGTGTGACATGTGCATCTTTTATAATGAACTCACATGAATTGTAGGCAATATTATAATACTAACAGGAAGAATTGTCAAGGCAGTAAACATGGGGCTGCTGTTGAGAGAAAATATACCAAGAAGAATTGCCAAAAGATGTTGAAAAGTTCAACCTGAGAATTTTAAGATCATTGTTTAAGGGGAACATCTCTAGAGATTGGTTTCGTTTTGAATTTTTGTGTGAGGACACACAGAAAGCACTGTTGCATCGGCTTCAGTAGTTTGTGCATCTCCTTTCTGCTATGTAAGTGAGAGGTGCCGTTTCCTTAGAGTAAATTTAAAGAACTGTTGATAATTCATTAGAATTTAGCTCTTGCTAAAGAAGTAATGGATCTGACCATATTATTAACATTTTGAAAATTGAAGTTGTGATTCTAGAAAAGTGGCTTTCAATGAGATGGACTGTCACCAAGAAGTTGACAAAAATTATTTGAAAGGAAATGGAATCATCTCTCTCTGGGCAATGGGACTAATCATATAGCATTGGCGCTAAGGGAAAGCAACCTGCCCATGCAAAAGCCAAGTGCAGATTAATTGAATATTGCTCTATGAATGGTGATATTTGTGGGTAAGAGCTCACTGAATAGCAGGAAGTCTTGGTTCCCACTTCCTGCCTAGGTGGCTGCCAGCCCCTCAAATGGGTCCAGCACCACCTTGTACTAATTGGCTTTGGGTACAAAAGCCTTTGCCCAGTGCTATAGAGATTGCAGATGGAATAGGAGCCATCACAGGCCAGGGTGGTAGGTCATGCAGGTTAGGAGAGTTTCTGGAGCCACTGCCTAAGCTGATACCCAGCCCTGTACTGGCTGTGTGTCTTTGGGCAAGTTACAAAACCTCCCTGTGCATCCATTTCCTTAGTACCTACTTCATAGGGTGTTCTGAGGAATACAGCAGAGATAATGTACATAAAGAGTTTAGTTTACCAGAAAGGTGTTGTCCCTAATCTCAAAGTCTTCATAATATCATGGGCCCAGGATTCTCATAGAGATAAATCATTACTGTAGTTTGTATAACTTCTGCTGAATAAATATTTTCTAGACCTGACTTGGGTTATAAAGAATGAAGTGTGCATATACTGTATTTTATTTTTACCATTAAGTGGGTGTTTAAAATTTAAATTCACTGAGTCATTATCAAGGCTGGTAAAATATTATTGGTATTCAAAGAAGCCTTCTCCTGAGCTATGAGAAGTGAGAAAAAACCTCTGTGGGGGACTGAGACCCCTTATTGGAGAATGCATCACAAGACTTGACAGCATGCCTGGTGAGCTCTGCATGAGATGGCTGTCGACAGAGCTGGAAACTCTAGAGGAGGAGCGTTACTCTTTTTGGTCGAATAAAGAACAAACTTTGTTGTATGAGAAGAATCCTTAACTGAGGGCTCAGCTGACAAAGCATCCTGAAATCTCTAGGCATGGGACTTAGCTGTCGCAAGGCTCGGCACAGAAATAAAAATAATGTCTGGAGAGCACTCAGCTGACTAAATGAAAACAGCAGCCATAGAACAGACAGCTGCCTGGCATCCCTCTCTGAGCCCAGCCCACAGAGCTTGAGCCCAGCCCACAGAGCTTCCTCTGAGCTGCCTCCTCCCAAGCCCAGCCCACAGAGCTTCCTCTGAGCTGCCTCCTCCCAGGCAGGTTTTCTGCACGTTCCTGTGTCCTCTCACCTCTGGGCGCTCTTCAGTCTGCTCGGTGCTTCCTATCCGCCGGATCTAGACGGACTGTGCCCTAGACATTACCCTTTTATCTCGTCTACTCAGGCTGCACCCTGGCTTGCAAATCATCCACATGCTGAAGATTCCTGACTGTCTCTCCAACATGGACACCTGCCCTGAACAGAAGACTTACTGAATCAACTGCCCACTTAACATGTCCACTGAGTATCTAATAGGCACCTCTGACTTAATGTGTCTCAAAGTAAACCCCCATCTTGCTCCTGAGGTCTTCTCCATCCCAGTAAATAACCATGTCATCTTTCCAATAGCTCAGGTCAGAACCTCCACTCCTTTCTGTCATCCCACTGCCAAGCCCTCAGCACATCCTGCTGCTTGCACAATGTATTCAGAACCCAGCACTTCTCACCACCTGACTGCCATCATCTGGTTCAGGCACCGTCGTTCTTATTTGAATTGCTGAAAGGGCCTCCCCTGTGGTTTCCTTTCTCCTGTCCTTGGCCATCTGCAGTCTAACTCCGCACAATAGCCAGACGATACTTTCAAAACCTCAATCAGCCCTGGTTGGTTTGGCTCAGTGGATAGAGCGTCGACCTGTGGACTGAGGGGTCCTGGGTTCGATTCCAGTCGTGGGCGTGTGCCCGGGTTGCGGGCTTGATCCCCAGTGGAGGATGTGCAGGAGGCAGCCAGTCAATGATTCTCTCTCATTGATGTTTCTATCTCTCTCTCTCTACCTCTCCCTCTCTGAAATAAAAAATATAAACAAACAAACAAACAAACAAAACCCCTAAGTCAGACAATTTAACTCCTCTGTTCAAACCTTCCCTGGCTTCTCATTGCACTTAAAAGCCAGTCTTGGAACAGTGGCCTGCAAGGCCCTGGATGAGCTGGCCTCCTACTGCTGCTCAAAGATCTGCTAATCTCATCTTTGCCCCATTCTGTCCTCTCATCCAATTTGCCAATTTGGGCCAATTTGTTAATTTGGGACAGCACCTTGGCAAGCTCCCCCTACAGGACATTTTCTCTTACTGCAGCTACTGCCTGTAATGTTCAGGTATTCATGTGACTAATTCCCTCATTGATTTATTTTTTTTTAGGTCTTTGCTTAAATGTCATCTTTTCAGTGAAACCTTCACTGAAACCCTCCCTGACCACCTGTTTTAAAATTGTAACTTCCCTCCTCTGGTTCTCCCCTGTCTTCTATCCCATGTAATTTTTCTCTACAGCACCTACCACTATCTAACATTTTACTTTGTTTATCCTCCCTCCCTCCCCTCATGCTAGCATGTAAGCTCCATGACACCACAGGATTTGCTGCTCTTATTCACCATTGTATCGCAGCACCTGGAATAATGAACGCTTGACTCATTCTAGGCACTCCATGAGCATTTGTTGCATAATAAATGAACTCTTAGGCTACCTACAACTTGGGTTTTTCTTTCAGTTTTATGTCACTATTATTTTACAGTTATTAAATTTAAGTTATAAATTTACACACAAGTAAATAGTATTTAATTTATTATAGAATGAAACTTTGCTACTTGTTGCCCAAAGTGAAATCTACTCTGAAGATCCCTGAAGATAAACATCTACTTCAACAGTTAGAAATGTGCGTGAGAAAACTTCTATGTCAAGAAAAAGATAAAGATGTTCTGGCTATTGTAAAAAGAGTAAGTCTCATGCTGGCCACAACATTTGTATTTCTTGCATTAAGACAGTCTTTATTAGCCCTGGCTGGTGTGGCTCAGTTAGCTGGGCATTGTCCCGTGTACCGACGGGTTGTCAGTTTGATTCCCACCCTGGGCACGTGCCCTGACCGGGCTCAAATCCTGGTAGGGGGTGTGGAGGAGGCACTGATTGATGTTTTGATCTCACATCACTGTTTCTCCCTCTCCCTTTCTCTCACTTTTAAAATCAATAATCTATTTAAAAAAAAGGATAATCTTAATTATATCTTCACTGTTTTAGCTTGATGGGATGGCACTATGTTAAAATCTTTATATCCTTGCTAGTGTACTAAGAATTAGAAACTGATTTGGTTGATATGTGCTACAATTGGATATGAAAGTCGGCACTCATTAGATATTATTAGTAAAGGGCGTCCCAAAATTCACGCAAGAAGTAATTTTGATAGAAAACACAGGTTTATAATTAAAATTGTAAATTTTTTATTGCTTCATAAAGTATACAGTATAGGGTTATGTATGGAATAGCATA